CCTCCTAAGGCCTCCTCCACGTCTCCTGGTGTACTGGCCTGGCAGCACTTCCAACCTCTGCACACTATGCACAGACATAGCAAACCTTCTGCCACAGCTCGCATTGATTGGCCATCCTGGATGAGCTGAACTATCTGAGCGACTTGTTTGGGTTGTAAAGTCCGTCTCATGCTACCACCAGTGTCAGAGCCCCAACAACACTCAAAAGTGACCAAAACATCAGCCACAAAGCATAGGTACTGAAAAGTGGTCTGTGGTATCCACTTGCAGAACCATTCCTTTAATGAGTATGTCTTGGAAATTGCCAATAATGTCCACATGTTGTCCATTCAATTTGCACAACAGCATGTGACATTGATTGTTAATCAGTGTTGATGGACAGTTTGATTTTACAGAAGTTTGATTGATTGAAGGTATCTTGTGGCGTTTACTGTACGTGGTCCCTTTATTTTTTTTGGGGGGGCAGTGTATACTTGTTGCTTTATTGGTGCATTTAATATTTAATCATTAAGTTTTAATTATGGAGAAAATCCAGATGTTACAACTGTACTGATTCCTGTATATTTACTGTGGTTTGGGTCAGGCAAAAATAAAATCTAAATTTGCCAGCATGCCATCTGCTCTAGACTTCCTTGTGCTGCTATGCTCTCACTCATAACAATGGCTTTGTTTTTGCTGAACTGTAATTTGGGGGTAAGAGGGATTTAGCTAGTTTTTGAGAAAAACTCTGACCGAGGAGGGTCAGAAACTTTTATTTTGGTAAAGAGGTGTGGTTATCGATTTTGCCCATCCAAAAGCTGTGATTGGTTGATTGAGAAATAAAATGCACCAATCATTGAAGACATAATACTTCTCATAAAAGTTAGATTAAGAAATGTATTCCATGATGCTGACACATCAGCAATACCATGCAGTGAAGTTGATGTCACATAGCATCTTGATGTTTGTATTTATGTTATTAAAATCCTCACTATTATTTAGATTTGCTTATTGTTATATTTTCTCACAATGCTTGCAAGCAAAATTATTTTATCTCATATTTATCTATCATATTTTACTATGATTGCATCCTTGTATAAAGAGGTTTTGTTTGGATAAACAATCATAAAATATAGAAAAAAAAAAAAACATTTAAGAAAAACGTACTGTAATTGCACAAAGAAGCAGTGCCTACTGTTGGTGCAATGAGGCACAACCATCATTTTAAAAAGTGAATGGGACACATTTCTTAGAGATCCACTGAATGATTCACAATCCTTACATTCAATCCCTCCTCTCCTTATTGATCAAAGAGCCATATCATCATTATTAACAATCACACTTAAAGGTATAGCGGAGGATGTTCTTTTTCCGGTCGGATCATCAAAATAAGTGGTCCTCCTAATTGTCACTCATTCTGGTGATATGTAAGACCTACGTGCTCGTCCCCATTTTCACTTACCGATGGTGAGTCTGACATAGTGGAAAAATTGCAACTCTTCTTTTGGAAAGCAAGCTTATATTAGCAATGCAAACAGCAACATTTAAACAGAGCGTGCACAAATCAGCGTGCATGCTCTCGCATGCGTTTAATAGGCAATCCCTCTCCGGAGCAGATACAGGGTTGTGCATGTGCATTTTTACATTTTTAATTGGAGAGGGCGGTCTTTTTTTTAAAATTTGCAAAAATCCTCCACTATACCTTTAAGCATGAGGGAACTGACTTTAGTTTTTTTGACTACATACAAACAAAAGCTGCAATTTAGCATGCAAACTCCTTGCAGAAAGACCCCAGGCCGGGAATTGAACCTGTAACCTTGTTGTTGCAATGCAGCAGTGCTATCCGCTGCTCCACTGAGTAGCCCTGGTTCAATGAAGGTATGAATTTAATGAATAGAAAAATAAAAAGTCATGGGTGATGGCAGCTATCAAGTGGATTTGTTGATCACAATTCAGGCTATAACATCAAAATAATCATGTACAATACAGAAGATACAAATTTACATCTTCCATATATAAAGAGCAAATATTGTACTTTTTCTTGTCTGCAGTGTGTATTCCTGTTTTTTTTTTTTTTGGAAATGTTTAGTGTGTAGAGCATTTTGCGCAATAGAAATGTTTAATTTTCAATTAAAAATATAAAAATAAGATTATCCTCCATAAAATAACATTACAGGAGAAGCACCTTTAACCTGTCAGAATGGTTAAACAATCTAATTTCCGCAGATGATAAGTTGCCCACATCATTATATTGATAATTGTATGCTTATTAAAAAAAAAAGGTTTGTGTGCTAATCTACCCCACTCTTTACTTGGTGGATTAATCAAAATTTAGTCTCTGTTTCCACCATCTTCTCCACCTTTACCTTCCCACGCTCACTAAAAGTCCTCCTCACTGCTCTTAATATTTTTTTTTGCTTTCAGAGCTGTCTAAGGGCTCAAGATGTTTTGTGAATAACTGTCATTTACAAAATTCTAACAAAATCTTAGAACATCAGGTTTGTAAATGTATTTTTTTCAAGAGAGGACACAATATGGAAAGTTATTTGAGAGGCATATGAGTCTTCTAAACGGAGGACATGTGGAGTTCACTAAACATTACACCTTTCTTTATTTTTCTATGTTGAACTGCTTGCTTTGATCAGATAAGACTAAAAGTAAGATCTTTTTTAGCGTCAAACACCCCACAAAGTTCTGAGTAGAAACAAAAGAGGAATATGTGAAAAACCATCTTACACAAGCAGTAAAGTATGGTGAAGTACCTGTAATGCTGTGGGCCTGCTTTACTTCTAAAGGCCCTAAAAGCCATGCAGAAGTGTATGGCATTATGAACATGTTTAATATTGGATTAAGAAATAAAAATGAAGTAGTCTCCTTCTGGAAAACAAATAAGGATCATAATTATAAATTTTAAACTGGTTCTAATTAAAATTCTGATTTACCAACAGTAAATTTGAAAGATCGGTCTCATGGTGTCAACAAGCCATTAGCTCAGAAGCAGAGGAGAATATACATGATAAGACATTTGTTCAGTTAATATTTTATCCCCTTAAGGAAAGGCTGGATAACATGCAGTTATGGCCCATGTGCCATCATCTACTTTGCAGTCTGGTAGCCTTCCATCAAAGCTTAGATTGAAACTTATGTACTGTGAAATTCTTGGGATCAGTTGTGCTCAGTAGCTTTGACTCACTGTTTGATTGTGTGTGCTCCATTTCAGCAATGGTTGGACTAGTAATTCCCTCTTATCTAAACAGCAAATGGAATTGAGTGGCTTTTCATCGTAAACGTACACTGAAAGTGATCATGCTTAAATTTGCGCATAAGTGGCAGATAAAATCCACAATTAAGGTGGTAAATTAAATTTTCGTCTCTCGGGGGTAGTCTGAAACCGCTAAAGGTAAGAGTGTGATCCTAATCTTTACTTTTTGGGATTCATCTCAAAAAAAGTTTCTAATTTGAAGTTGGATGGTTTTCATATTGTGTGTAATTGTGTGTTTGACCAAATATTTACTTTTGATTTTAATCTAATTCTATTTAAGGGACAACAATGAAAAGAATCTTACAAATATATTAGGAAAAATTATTAATACTAAAGATGTATTGAGGAACCAGAGATCTCACAATATCAAAACATCCCCTAGTTTATCTTTAAAAGTAATCTGCTGTGAAAATATAACCTCATCTGGTGAAGTAAGTGGTTTAAGCTTCAAATCATATTCTATCTGCTTTTTCTCTTATTTTCAACACTTGGTTACAGAAGCACTGGATAAGCCTCCTACTGTTCTATATTGTAGCAGCCTTGGAGTACTCAGTACGAGTAAATGAGCAAAGACAGACGATTTATAGACTTTCTGGTAATAAAACAACTGGATAAGTAATTGCTGCTACTGTGGATATATACAGTTGGCTTCTGCTCCAACATGTCCAGCCATCCTCAAGTAAAGTGCTATTTACCTGGTTTCAAAAGACTACATTTTGATTGACTTTCCTTTAAAATAAAAAATAATTATAATGATTAAATTTAAGTTAAATTTGAGGTGAGTAAAAATAAAAACAGATGTTATTCTACCTGTTAAAACATAAAAAGGGGGAGCGTTTTTATTCATATGTAATTGTCCTTTGTAACACCCCTAATTTGCTCTTAAAACTCAGATCAAACGGTTTTTTTTCCGTCTTAGAAAGTTACGCTATGTGTGTGAAGTTTTAAAGCGTGGGACTCATTTTTGTATCTTTTTAATACTGTATTATGTTTTGTGGCATTAGGATATAGGTGGATTCTGGGGTTATATGCAAATTAAGGTCCACATCTCAGTTAAATGTCAAGTTGTCAAAAAAAAATCCTTAAACCATCTGTCAGCTTAAATATACAGTGAATAAGTACTTTCTTATTGATCACATTGCTTCATCCAGGTTTCTTTCCCTCTTGATGCCTGTAGTCTTTATGGTTCTTAATCAGATCCTTGTTTTGCTTTCTACTCTGATGGTGCGGTCCTGTTGGTTGCTGTCAGAGTCATTGCCACCAATCCTGTTCAGGCACCACTGGTCTCTTGGCTTAGATGTGTCACAGACCCATTAACAAAGGTGATGAGTCACCGTGTTGTTGAGGACTGTGCAGTTACACTGTAATGTATCAGACACCCACAGTGTGGTTCCCAGAGCTCTTTGCCACTCGCTGTGGCCATGCCTATTGGCTGGCTATTCTGCCAGCGAGGCTTACAGGCCAGAAGCCTTGAAGGGAAAGCCCAAGAGAGCCAAGGATATGAGGCCAATGTGGCCAAGTGGTAAATTCTCACCTGCTACTAAGTGAGAATTAGCGCAGCGATCATTTTCCTTTCATGCTGTGAGTCACATAAGCCAGACCCCACAACCTGCTGTTACTTAACAAATGTTCTCACATGAAGAAGAAAGATATTTTCTCTTACTCTGTTTTAAGAAGCAGACCTCAGTCCTCCAAACTCACAAGAATCAGCAGATTGCTCCTTAAATACTGGCCTCTGACCTCGACTTCTCTTTTTCAGGTGTTCCTGCAAGTCATCGGAGTTATTGCGATAGCTGGTGTCATAATCCCCGGGATCCTTATTCCAGTTGTCCCTCTGCTTGCCGTCTTCCTGTTCCTAAGACACTATTTCCTGCAGACCTCCAGGGATATCAAGCGGCTTGAATCTACAAGTAACTGAACTGTTTTGGTGTAAACTAATACTTTATTGACTCTTCCATTTGTGGTGGTAGGTGGGTGTCGCCCACAGGAATGCTAGTGGACTACAATTGAAAGCTACTGTTTTAGCAGACAGATACCGAGGACTCGACCACAAGCAATTTCCTCAAGAGATTAGAGTACATGACATCACATATAACGGCAAAAGTGCCAATATGGCATGACTAGGCCATAGTTTGTCTTTTAATATAAGCTTTAGGCTAAAAGGAAATATCTAGAGTTTATCAGTGACTTTGTTAGACTAGAAAATTGGAGCAGATGAAATACAATCTTTGTTAATTTAAACTATAAATTAAAAAGATGGCTGAAAAGTGCTTTCCTGAAGGAGTAAATAGGCTACATGTATTTAGGAGGTAATTATTTAGCACTCAACATCTATCAACAAGCACACCAGAAAATATTCACAACTACAACTGAAAGTTATTGCTGGAGACACAAAATACGGTTTCTTGTTTTGTTTTTTGAGATAAAACGATTATTTTGCACTTTTAAGTGGTGTCTTGATTTATTAGTTGAACAGAAATTTTCCTTGGTTGTTTGCTTCCTAACGTTTGTTTTTTTAACATTTCTTAAAGTGCGGAGTCCCGTCTTCTCCCATCTTTCTTCCTCCCTCCAAGGGCTGAGCTCCATTCGTGCCTTCAGGGTTCAACATCAGTTCCAGCGAATATTTCACAAGTATCTAGATCTTCACTCAGGTGAGATTAATCAATTACATTTAAGCTATAGTGGAAAAAAGTAATAATTTTGATTTACCCTTGGGTCGACTAGCTTGTATATAGGAAAAATGTATTTATGAATTTTCACATACTGTTTGATTTGTTATGCTTATTATAAGATTGGTTGCAAAAGACACACTTATTACAATGAGACAGTAATGAATGATTTAAAAAATGTACATGCAGTAACATAGTACGGTAAAAAGCTTGTAAGGTGTAATAACCTGGTTGCATAAATATGATACACCCTTAATCCCTTAGCTCCCACCTCCAGGCCTCGGGTCGTTTTAACTTCCCATTTTGTTCCTCTAGTTTATTAGTGAAAAAAAAACCCAACATGTTGTGCCTCTTTAGAATAAGGCCAACCTACAGAAATTGACCGTCATCTCAATTGTAATCCAGCTATTCTCCACAAAAAATATTTGTAAACTGTCATCAAATTAGAACCCATAATTTTCCCTTTTTACCTTTTTTTCCCCCCTCTTCTGCCATTCAAAAGCATGTTCTGCCATGTCCAGATGGGCTCATTTTTGTTCCATAACATTCTACAGAAAGTATTATCCAGTTGTATTCCCCATAAAATAAATTTTCCTGTCACAATAATCCACCAAAGCTGATTTTTTTCCATGGAAAAGTAAAATCACTAGACAAATAGTGTCTAGTGACATTTATCTGCATTATAGATAGGCTTTGTTACGTTGGCTTATTCAGCAATCTGTTTGCTCCCAAAATCAAGCATAAGTTACATTGTCAGTATCCAGAATACTTCAGAAAATCCTGCATGTAAGAAAAGTCTATGGGTCACTGTGGTCTGCGCAGCTCAAACTCAACTCTCAAGTGACCGATCTAAGTTCGATTGATATGTTAGCTAATAAGATAAGCTTTGCAATGAAGTATTGGAAGTGTAGGGGCAGGCTAAAAACATCCTTAATTATGTGTGTAAGGACTTGGAGGAGAGTAGAAATAGCTGGATCTGCACAGAAAATATATAGTCAAAATTCCGAAAGCTGAAAATTTTTTTGTAAGGCTACATATAGAAATGTGTTTTATACGGTGAAATTCGTCATAAAATTCAAATAATTTAGTTTGGCACTTTTGGTCCTGTTTTGGATCAATTATTACATTTGCATACTAAAAGGGTAAGAGTATCACAATGCTTTTGACTAGAGATTTTTAATTATGCACAATTTTTGTTCACAACATGAGTGAGGTCAGCTATGAATTATACCCAAGATCTCCAATATTAAAAATTGCATTTAGATATGCAAGAAAGAAAACATTTTTTTGGACATGATTTTAGATGCATAGCTCAAGTTATCTAAAACTTAAAGAGTGTGTACACATACTTCCAGAAACTAGAATAACTTACTGTAGGTTTCAAACCAGCTTGTGGGATTTATAATATTTTACTGGCCAATGGCATTTAATCTGTTAGCTTTCGAAGACCTTCCTTTTCAGATTACCGGCCAGACATTCTGTCAAATTTGGTTCTAAGCTATTAAAGAGTAAACTTGAATAACCTTTTGATACTGTGAATAGTACCCAAAATGTTTGATTCTTATAAGTGCTGCATTTCGGAATGTTTTTTAATATCGCTATGTTATGAAAAAATTATACAAATGACAACATGCAAATGGTATCTTTTTACCTACAGAAGCCTGGTTCCTCTTCTTGACCACTTCACGGTGGTTTGCTGTGCGTCTCGATGGAATTTGTTGCATTTTTGTCACAATTACAGCTTTTGGCTGCCTGTACTTCAGGGATGGTATTGTATTGGTCACAGACACATGCACTAACTTGTAGAGGATTATTTATATCTGAGATATTGCCTGTTAGAACACAGCAGCTAATTCACATTATTTTCCTTTTTTACATGTGTTAAAGGCCTGGAACCAGGTGCTGTGGGCTTGGCTCTGTCCTATGCTGTGACGCTTACAGGCATGTTTCAGTGGGGAGTCAGACAGAGTGCAGAGATTGAGAATCTGGTGAGATCATCTACATATATGTCTACATATACAGTATGCAGGGATGAAAGTAGCTTCAAATTCTAGTGGTGCTATTACAAAAAAGACCCCTTAATATCACTTACTCCCTTCATGAACTCCATATAACAACAGATTACAGTTTTCTAAAATGGTTAATTAAATTAACTGGGATTGATCAGTTATTGACATAATAGTTAGCTGTTGTGTACTGAATCTAAAACAATATATTTGCTTAAAGGACTTCCCATCCAGAGCAGTTAATTGTTGTATTTCGCATTTAAATAAAATTGGCTGAATATGATCTATTCAAACTCTTCAAGTCAGCATTACTTTTACTTTATCTGGTTAACATTACCTAAGGAATCTTCTATTAGGCACCTTTTTCTATTGGATTATTAATCAGTTAATTGAAAAATAGTCAACAGATTATTTAGGCTTTCAATACTTTTCTGTACGCTATGGACAAGGCAGAAAGAAGAACCACTGGCAAAAAATATATTTTTATTGTTAGGTGCTAAAACATGCATAATTGAGCTGAGAGGTAGTGGTGGTTGTTGTAGCGTGTGTCTGTTTTAGGTGTGGTGTGCTGGCGGTGATGGAGGGGATATGGTTATGTGGCTGTCGCTTCACCTTAACCTTGATTAACTGCCAAGTGCATACACCTATTTTTTTGTAATACAATAAAGTGCATGTTGTTATTCACAATATTAGCATTTTTACTCTCTTCTGGGGGTTTAACCAAACCCTCCTCTCGTTAATTCTTAACTCTTTAAAGGGGCATAGTCAGGTTATAAGTTTTCTTAAATATCAAAACTTTCTGCTTTCATATAATTGATAAGTTTTCTATAATACCCCTTGTTTTCGCATTGTTTCTAAGTAAACAAAGCTCTTTGCAGTAACAGCAGTGCTTGTTCGGTGTTTCGTACTGCGCATGTGTGCAATGGGTACAAGCAAGGGAGTGCAGGACTAAGCACTTAAGAATACTTAAGATCAGATTCAATTCAGGGCGCATCAACCATGCACCTAGAGAAGGGAAACAGCATATTAATACGTTAAATATACATTTATTTCTATGACAAGGTTTTAGTCAATGACTTATTTTTATGTATTTAAATATTTCTACTTGAATCTGTTTTCCTGTTTACATTGGTTAGGGACGCACATTTTATTTTCCATGATGCTCTCATAGGAGGCTCTGGAGAGGATTCACTACTAGAACTTAAAGTTTATGTGATTAAAATTGGTAGGTCCTCAACCACTCCAACCTGCAGCTTTAACGAGAGGCATCGCATGACAGTATGACTCTTTAAAGTAGCCACATCATTGGGACCAATTCCAATTCTTCCTGATATTCGGCCAGCTCCTTTTATTTCCAGTCTTTCATTACTGGACTAACTGATAAATCCAGGCGTGTTTTACCCCTGTAACCATGACGAGAATGGCTAGAAACACCTGGATTAATCAGTTTGGAGCTGGGTGAAGTTTAGGAAGTAGTGGAGTTGGGCATGTAGCCCATCATTGCCATCTGGTTTATTGAGAGTTCTGCAGTACTGCCAGCAGAGGACGCACACGTCTGTTCATGTCTGCTCATGGCGCTCAGAGCTGGAATTCTATTTAGGATCAAAAAGGACTATCAGCACATTATCAGTTGGGCCGCTTTGTGCATTTGACCTTATTTTAACATGATCAAAAGGTTTTTGGCATTTTTTTGGTAATATAACGTCACTTTAAAAAGCGCTCTTTAAAGTCTGTAGTCATGCATTTTCTCCATTTCTTTCATCCCCCATGTAGTGCAGCACTGACTCCATTTTATTCTACAAACACCTGCTGCGTGGCTCATACTGGTTTCATTGAGTAAAGTCTGCCTGTAGAGGAGAATCAGCACCAAAATCATTTTTTTTTCAGTTATGGAAGCCAATAGAGGCTCAGATTAAAAGCCTACTGCTGGGAAAAATTATGTCAAAGGGTTAGAAACTGTAACGTGTAGAAGAGCAATAGCATTGAAATGTATAAAAAAATCAGAAGTCAGATTATGGGTAATGACCCAGCATAACAAACCCTGCATGCCTAAAGCATCACTGCAGATTGAAATAAACTCTGACCAGAGTGAGAGAGTATTTGGATTGACAGCCGGGGCAGCTTGGTAAGAATGACTGCAGCTCTGCTTTGTTACATTTAGGAAAAATGCTTCTTTTTTATTATTAAACCCAGTCAAACGTGGAACATTGTTTAAATTTTGGTTGACATGGTGGCAGAAGAGAAAAATGTGGTACAGTACTGTACACATTGGATCATCTGGTCACCATTCCTGGTTGTCAATATTCTATTTAAATGTCTTTCTCTTAATGAGAATTTTTTGCAATGCCATTCTTTTCAGAATCTCCTCTGAAAAACTGTGGGATTTTGAACAGATGAAAAATTTTGTCACTTTAATGCAAACATATATTGTAATACAGCAATATAAGTTATCTCTACATAGCAAATTAGATGTGATAGTTCAAAAATGGTGCCATCAGCAGCACTGGGGCTTCTGACAAACATTGTTGAGAGGTAACTTTTGTTACCCTCCAGTTAAAGAAACAGTTTTTTTCTTGGATTACTGTGGAGAAGGCCAACATTTAAAGGGCAATATCTTGCTAAATAATTTTTTTTCGATGTCTACAAGTTTTACATTCTTGGAAAGACTCCACTCTTTAAGGAACTGTAAAATACTCAAAACAACTCTGGAGAGACATGTTGAAGGTTTTTTCTTGTCATGTTACAAATATCCACATATGAAGGAAAGCATTACTTTTTCATAATCTATGCAATACCGATAGACGGGCAATAAACAAAGCTGAGGCATATCCTCTAAGAAGTTATACTCTTTACAGACAGAACTTTATAGTGATGAAAATGATTCCTTTTCTCATGCTAAAAATTTTATAATACACCAAGATACCTTCTCTCATTAACAAGTGAGAGTAAGATTAATATATCAAAATCAACCAATTTATCACAAAATATACTCGCAATTTGTAATGGTTTAATAAGGTACCTCATCATACGAGTATGTAATTGGCATAGGACTCAAAGGGTTAAGTAGAATCGATCCATAGTTCAGTTGCTCAAAACTTTGCTTCTGCATTGTCCATAGCATCTTGTAGGTCAAAACTCAGTCCTAATCCATCTGTATTTTCTCAGATCTGGTTCATCTTCTTAATATGTGTATAAATATTTTTGATAAAGTAGTAGAAATGCATTGACCAATCAGTGATTAGACTAATTTAGCTTTAGATGATAAATTTTTTCATCAGAATCTAGATTCCCCCTTTTGGAGTCCCAGGAGTCTTTCCGCTTCCTGGGAACTTTCATTTCACAGGACCTAAAGTGGGACCTGAACATCAACTCCCTCACCAAGAAAGCCCAGCAGAGGGGGAGAAGCTGTTGAAGAATCTGCTGGACCTGCATCCAATGCTGTGAAGCCTCTTTCCAGGAGGCAGCAGGGAGAACAGTCCACGGTAGAGGTGTGAGGGGTCTTTGATGATGTTACGGGCTCGGGACACACAGCGCTGGGATGAAATGTTCCGATGATCCTCTCTGCTTTTCTCACCACTTTTCTCACTTTCTTCCAGTCTGAGGTGCTGCAGCCTCCACACAGCTCAGTCTATTGTGTATATAGTATATAGCTATATATTATACATTGTATATAGTGTATTGTATGTTTTATATTGTATATAGCTATTGGTTCTGTATTCTGTATATATATATATATATATATATATATAATATAATTTGTCTGCAACATCAACACCAAGTCAAATTCATTGTAAGTGCAAACCTACTTGGCAATAAACTTGATTCTGATTCTGATTTGGATGGTTAGATTTTAGAGTGTGCCAATTTATATTGTAAAAATAGTTATAAGCAAAGTTCTTAAACTAAATTTGCATAAAGTTTCTGTGTTATTCTCTCTAGATGACATCTGTAGAGAGAGTGGTTGAGTATGCTGAACTGGAGAGCGAAGCACCTTGGGAGACGGACAAAAAGCCTCCTGCAGACTGGCCCCAGAAGGGCTCCATCTCCTTTGACAACGTTAGCTTTTCTTACAGCGACAGCACGCCTTTAGTCTTAAAGAACCTCAGTATTGTCTTCGCATCCAAAGAAAAGGTTATAGTCTTGACATTCACCTGTGCATGACTTGATATGCTGCCAGTTTGGGAGGCGTGCTGTGTTTTCTGTTTTTTATGTGCCATTATTTTTTAATCAATTATTAAAGGGACATCATATTGTGCTGCTGAATCTTCAGGACTATACCATTTGTGATTCATGGAATACATATCATGTAATTAAGACTGTTCAAGTGGATCCATTTGTTTCCAATTTGCATTTTGAGCTACCTGAAGGTGACAACTGTTTATTCAGTATAAGAGAGAGGAGAGGCCAAGAGAGAGGAGCAAAGGAAGGCAAAAGGGAGATGGTTAAGGATGATTGAAATTGTGTTTAATGCAGGGGGTGTATTTTGCATGGTTATGGTTGGCCAGGGCAGCTGATTTCACAATGGATGGGCTGATAAGTGAAAAGTCTCTGGCTCTGACAGCCCATGGGAGGGACCTCTGCAGCGTGCCCAGGGGGGTTAAAAGGCGGTGCTCATGCTATTTCCCCTGCCACCTTTTTATTTCTGCACCTTGCAGCTTTAAGAAATTTTTCTCTAGCCTTAAACTAAAAACAGTTGTAAGGAAAACTTAAATTGTCAAGATATATATATATATATATATATATATATATATATAAATATATACTGTAACACCCCTGTCACATGATTGAGTAACGTGTCTTCGGTTTGATATTGTTACCAGAAACACATCCTAATTTAGTCTTTAAAATGCTTAAAACATTGCATTTTACAGTGCTTAATGCTGTAAACGTTACCGTTGTTGAGGTAATGCTGAAATGAACCCTGAGTCCTCAGGCTCTCAAGCTATGGTATTGATTTACAGCTCAAACTAGGCATTAAGAAAATACCAGGGTTTTGGGAGCGGCAACAACGGCCATATACTGATGCTTCCTGTCAGGCCTGGTTCAATTAAACTTTGTTTTGATAAAGATCCTCAGTTGATCTTTATCAAAGTAAAGACATCCTTTATTTCTTTTCTTTGGCCATTATGAAGAGATTATAAGTGTTATTCACTTCACCCTTCCATAATCAGAAAGTAATGGCTGACTGATGTCAATATGTGTTTTTGTTTGTATATAGAAAACAGTATAAAAGTAAAAGATCTCCCCAATTTTATTTAATATGCCAATTACATTCTTCCTTACAGAAGTGGCTTTCAGTTAACGTGTTATGCTTTGAGTAAGAGTTTCTTTCTTATGGATTTGTTGAGTTTTAAGGATGTGCTCTGAAATATTCTTTCCTTTCACTGTAGGTTGGGATTGTTGGACGCACCGGAGCTGGTAAAGGCTCCCTCATCTCTGCCTTGTTTCGACTGGCAGAACCTGAGGGAAGGATAACAATTGACGGCATTCTGACTTCAGAGATCGGTTTGCACACGCTGCGCCAGAAAATGTCGATTATCCCACAGGTGCGCCATTGAAAACTGTATTTTCCTTAGGAGCTTCTTCCTAAAAGAAAAAAAGATAAAATAAAACAAGTACTCTTTTTAACTTGGTTCTTTCCTAACACTACTTAATTTTTGCTTGGATAGTATAGATAAAGTGTCTGACTGATTCTTTATGATTGAGATACGATGGTAACATCTCCTTGCTTTGGTGCCTTTTTTTTTCTGCCCACCTGACTTTTTAAAAGCAAAAACAAGTGAGGAGAATTACAGTCGTCTCTGGGGATTTTTGAAAGTGAGACAAACTGATGCCTTGAGACAGTTTAACTTTATTTCCGCTTGTTGAAACTGATACGGCATTAAGAAAATGCCAGCCTGCGGGTGGGTGTCAGAGTGGAGGGAGGGGAGAAGACTCCCACGGCCTGTACTGTGAAGAGAGCAGTTCCCCATCCCTGACAGAGGATTAGCCCTCTACCCCCCAAACATGGGAAAGCCGCTTAAAAGAAGCTCCCCATCCTCGCAGTCAGAGTCCCAGCGAACACTGTCACTTAGCCCAAGTCTGAAACATTTCTGCTGTAGCCAAGATGCCCAAAAACAATTTCATTAATGCTTCTCTGTGGAGTTGATAGGTTTCTGGCATATCTGCCTCTTCAGATGAAGTTTCACTTTTTTCGTCTAAACTAGTTAGAGATGGATGCGAGGTGGATATGATGCGTGTTTGATTGGATTTTGTTTATTCCCTCCGACTTCTAAAGTGAAGACTTTAAAAGTGCCAGGTTATGAGCCAGAACTTCAACTGTACATTTATCTGTCACATACAGTGCGACATATTGATTATGTAGGCAGAACTTTGCAAAATGCGTATCATTTTATATACCGGTAAGTAAATTCATCTGAATACTTTAAAATATATTTTAGTAAATATCACAGATAAATCAAAAGATAACTTTTTGCTTTGATAAAAAAGTGGTTGCCCTACTTTTACCTGGACCTATTTAAAGTCAAACCTGTACTATAAAGTTCCATTGATGAGATTCGATTCTGATAGGTTTATAACAGCATATGGAATTAAAAAGGATCCATTTCAGTCTCTATTGAACCCTCAGGAATGTCTTAGTGTAACATGAATTCTGTGGCAAACAGAGGGCTTGGAACTGCTGGAGCACATAATTGGCGCATGGAAAGCTGTGCTTGAAAGCAGTTTTCCAACCTTACACTGAATCCTCAATTAAAGTGTGTCACAGAACTAGTCTGCTTTGGGACTTTGTCTGGCTTTATGACAAGGTGGTATTTTGGTGACAGAGGGAAAAGCTTATTGGAGTTGAAGAGGTGGAACATTTTGGGAAGGCACAGGTAACAGTGATTAGGGTTGGAAAGGTGTATTATTGTGGAAGAAAAATTGAGCTGTTAGTCTTGACCCTTTTGACGCTACGGGATATGACTTGTCGAAATGCGAAATTCCATTTTTAACATTTTTTATTTTTGCTGCTTTGTCCATCTCTGGACTATTTAACACGCCTTGTGAAATTATTATTAATGTTTAACATATTGATCACAATACAACTGTAATCATATTTTATGCAATTGTAGAGCATGATGGTTAGGTGTAAAACAAATATTACAGGACTTTCAAATTTTTTACAAATAAAATCCTCGTAATCTTGGGAATATATATTTTTTCCTATCAAACTATGGGAACGGATATTATTCAATGGCAGTCTATATTAATTATTTAGAACATGGTCAAGGTCAGAGAGAAACTTCTTTGCTAATTTCAGAATTAAAATATAATTTTTAAAGCTTTTTTTTTTAACAAAAACGGCAAAATCTAACAGATGCAAATAGAGCACAACAGGGTTCTTATAAGTGTAACATTTGGGACATGAACAGCAAATGCACAAACTAACAGATTTTAAACCAAAAAACCTTTAAAATACTTTCAATAAATTCCCCTTCTCTTGAAAACTATGGACTGCCTTAGGTTAACATTTCATAAAATCCAAATAAAGTGTTACAATGTTGAAGAATGTATCAAAAAAGTTATTGCGGTATATTTTGTAAAGTAGCCTCTAACCATGATGCCAGACCTGTAACTTTTTGGACTGATTATTATCTTCATGTTTCTTACTGGTCTAATCTTGCAGTTTTAAAATAAATGCATTGTGTTTAGAACTGAGGTCAGATATATATCTGCAGTAAAACATTTGACACTGGGAAAGATAAGATGGAAACATAGCATCTTGATTAACATGCCTGCTGCTCTGTATCACCTTTGTTTGACATATCATTATCATCTTTTTTCAGGCATGTTAATTAGATCCACTATAATCCTACCAGTGATTGTTGCATGATAAATCAATCCTAAATAAATATATAAAAAGAGGATCAAACACCTTACATTAAGCTGCTGTGATAGGACTAGTATTCAGTATGATGTATTTGTATACAATTTATTTAACTACAAAGGTATAATAGAAAACTATTTGCAATTTTAGGTGCAAAGAAGGTTAACTAAAGACAGACATGAGTCTGAAGCTTTTTTTGATGTCTTTTACCATATATATATAATTTTAGTAAATAATTTACAACAGTTTATACCATTGATTATCAAACTTTACAATCTTGGCAGCTTTAATAAAAAGGAAATATTTTCCGCTGATCCTCAGTAAAAAGGACTCAAAGATAATCCATTTATATTTTATCCAGGAAAAAAAAAAAAAAAACTCAACTTATACAATATTCCTTTGATTTTGTTTATTTAGCAAATGTCAGCTAGTTTTATTGTGATTTATTCCCACTGAATCGTGTTCTTGCAAAATAAAAAGAAACTGTAGAACAGCACCAAATGAAAACATAGCATAGAATGTCACTTGTTTTCTTTTTCAAAAATAAACATGATACAATATATGTTTTCATGGAACTGCAAAGTTAGGTTGGCCAAAGACCCTTGAAGATTATTAAAAGCAATACAGTACTTCCTTTGCATGTGTCAGTCATCTGGGTCATAGCAATAAAAAAACTTTAGTTGAAAAGCAACCAGACTTTAGAGAAGTCTTCGTCATTTCTGTTGGGCTGCACAAAAAACCTCTTCAGAAAAAAAACTGAGCTGAAGTCCGGTTGCATTCCAGTTTAAGCCTGTTTTGTTTGAAGCATGCTAGTTGACAGCACTCTATCTTTCCAAAAGCACATCAACAATACACTCTGTCTGCCAACTTCTACTTGCAAAATACTAACAACCTCTATCCGTCCATCACTCTTGCCACCACTGCAATCCTGATCTTAATTCTTGTCACATAACTCCCTGCTCCACATTAAAGCATGTATAAACTCCCAACTGATCCAGAACTTTTTTGCCAATGCCATCTTAACAATACAACCAGCCAATCACATTTCACCTACAGTAGACTGCATTAGCCCCATTGTCTTCCAATCAGATACAAATTCAAAATCTTCCTTTATACATTTATACATTTTAGGCCAATTATCACCTCGCACCTGTCCAACATCCTTCTCATTAACGTTCCTTCCGGGTCTCTCAGGTCAGCCTCCTCTCTCAATCTCATTGTGCAACCATTCTGTCTGAGCACTACGGGGTCTTTGCAGTAGCTGATCTGCCTCTGGTCTTCAGAAGACATCAGAAACTTTACAACCATTTCCCATTTCTGAAAACACATCTGTTCAGAAAAGCATTTTTGTCTTGATTAGCCCCATTATACTGTTATTATTTTTGGTTTTCTTTTTAATTTGACCTTTTTACTTTTTATTGTAAGGTAACCTTAAGTAACCTTAAAAGGAGCCTTTTAAATATAAGTTAATATTTTACAGTTTTATCAACATCAAATTGAACTATACACAGACTTATTAAATTAATTTAATTTTTTTAAATAAAACTATATCAGTAACTCAATTTACTAAGTAAAACTCAACATGTAGAGCAATATACACAGATATTTTAAAGCCTTAAATTATTTTTCATTTACAGCTAATGGAAAAACAACATCAAAGCCTTAAATATATTAAATCTAAAAGGTAAAAGGTTGTGCTGTCAACATCTATTACCTTCTTAAAGTTATTTTCAGTCTTTCATACTTTGTATCAGACAAACAAACCTTATTGTGATGCATGTTGTAATTTATTTTAAGAGGACATCTGAGAAAAAGGTTTGTTACTTTAGCATATTATTATTATTGTTGTTGATTTATGCTTCCCTGGCCGTCTTTTAAAGTAAATTTGCTGATTGTTGTAGTCAGGTTTTCTTAAAAAAAAATCTGCTTGTGTTTTTTGTGCAATTGTTTTTTTTTTTTTTTTTTATATTTCCCTTGTTTTTTGACTTGCCACCATAGGAAAAATATGTTATGAGAAGCTTGTTACATCTAGAATCATGTTATAATTTTATGAACAACATAAAACCCTTGATTTTCTATCAAACCCTGTATACAAGATGTCATTTTTGTCTAGGAAGGTCAATATATTTCAGCATAGTTAGGATCAGCACTGAATAGAGCGCCGCAGCGAAGCAAGTCCTTTGTGAACATCTCCCTTCACACATTGCCTCTCAGTCTTCTATAAATCCTGTTTTTAACCCTTTTATACAACCCCCACCACCTTTATTATTTTAACTGGCTATGGCCTTCTCTTTCTATATCCATCTAACCACAGGACCCAGTACTCTTCACGGGCACCATGAGGAAGAATCTGGACCCTTTCAAGCAGCACACAGATGAGGACCTGTGGAATGCACTCCAAGAGGTACTCCAGCGTGGCTCTGAATGATTCCCCCTCACCATCCCAGGGGGGATCCCTCTGTCCCTATGTACAATGCTGCCATTCAGCCTCCCTGCTCGCCACAAGTCATGGGGGAAATCCCATTAGGGCCATGGGGCCCAGCTCAATGTGCAGCTTGTAACGGGGAACCATTGAAAGTGCAAGGGAAGATGTGTTTGGTCAGTCAGGGCAAGCATGATGAAGGCTCCCCCCACAGTGAAGGGCTGCAGCTCCTGGTCCTGCCTCTGAATGGGTTTGGTGGCCTGGATTAAAGTTAAAGGCTGGCCACAAGAGAGCACTGGCCAAGGTCATCAGTGGACCTGGCTCTGCATTGTGCCAGCCGGTTAATGGGTGTCTTTGGGTGGCTCTTTAAAGAGATCTCCACAGGGCACCTTTATGCTGAAGTAATGAGGGGTTGGGGCTGTGCTCTCTCTCTGCAGGTGCAGATGAAGGCGGTGGTGGAGGAGCTGCCCAACAAGCTGGAAACAGTGCTGACTGAGTCAGGCTCCAACTTCAGCATGGGTCAGAGGCAGTTGGTGTGTCTGGCCAGGGCCCTCCTAAGGGAAAACCGAATCCTCGTTATTGATGAAGCTACAGCAAATGTGGACCCGAGGTTAGAAAACAGCATTAAAAAAAATATATATATAAAGACAGTATTTTCCCTGTCTGGGTTGTCAGTTAACACGAAGACATTTCAGGTTGATAATAATGAAAAAAAAAATCTGAAACATAACAATATACAATACGACATACATTATTTGGCAGTATAGCCGTTTTCCATTGACTGCTCATAATTTCCATTGACTCCTAATAATTTACATTTATCCAAGGACATTCAGCACATTTTTTTTTTTAATTTTCAGTCCTTTGAAAGAGAAAAATCTGAAATGTATTGTAGCCAGGGGATGCCTACTATAATTAGTCCATGTCTACCTGTTTTAGGATTTAAAAGATTTTTTTCTTTGTTCTGTTAGGTTATTGTTAAGTTGCTGACAATGACCAATCCATGGTCTGGTTTATATATAATAAATGACAAATCAAATTATTTAACATTTCTAAGAGTGCTCCTATGCTACGTTCAACTCAGACGCACCTCTGGCAGCCTAAAATCTTCTGCGGATTCATTTTTTATGCTTGCACACATTAAGGTCCCTGCAGTAGCTGGGGGGTTTCCGCTATTATTCGTGGCGACTGGAGGGAGATGTTGGCCATTTTCATATCCGTGCGACAAACTGCAGGCATCAGGATAAATAAAGCGAACATATTTTGCTGGCAGGTTTCGACATTTTAAGTAAATTTAATTTAGGCATTAATAAACTTTTTTAGTGGAGTGATCATAGCGCTCTGCATCAGCCACACTTTGCCTCCCTGCCAGCCTCAGACCAGCTTCTCTTATCCCATTTACACTACCCTTGAAAAACCGTGGCGAGACCGGTCCGAGCTCAGTAACTGAGATAACTTATCGTGTGTAAATGGAAAGCAAACAAACTGAACCGAGCTAGACACAGACCAGTTCCAGAGGTGGGCTCGGCTCGGTTCTCTGATAACAAGAAGAAGAAGAACAACTATAAACAACAATCAAAATCCTCTCCACTCAACATTTTGATTTGCTTGATTCCCTCCTTCTTCGTCTTCTCATTCTTGTGTTTTATGGCGGTTGGCAAACAACTTTTGGTGCATTACTGCCACCAACTGCTTGATTTCCTCCTTCAATACTGGCAGTAATACCGCAGATCATCACTAGGAGGCGATGAGTCCTGAAACCGAGATAGCATGATGTGTAAACGGTCGTCAGAACCAAGCTCGGCCTGGTTAACAGATCCGAGCTCAGACCGGTCTCAGCATGGATCGGTTTTTCAAGGGTAGTGTAAATGGAGTATCTCATTGGTTGATGTGAAGCATCGAGCAGCAAAGTTCCGTTTTTTTCCAACTCCAGCTTTTGCTGCTTGTGAAGAACCTCAGATGCTCAGAAGCTCATGAGGGGCTACTTCAGCTGCTCAGATGCGTCAAGAGCACTGCTCGAAACACGCTGCAGGACCTTTAACCATTGACTTTTCTTCTAAACCAATTGCTTCTGTAGCTTCTATACCATGTGGTTTTAGTGTAGCATTACAGTTGAGTTTATTTTTTATTTTTTTGTTGTTAATCAGGATTTTAAAAAGAGCTCTGTAGATTGTGCATCAGTCTGATTATAGCTACAATAATTTCAATACCATAATGCCAGTTAAGGCTTTTAATCTATTAAAAGGTGGAAGTTAATTATCATTAAATGTTAAAAAATTATAGAAAATGTGGGTATTATAAAACTAAGGTAAAGTTTGTACATTTACATTTATTAACCATCCAATATTATCCCTGAATATTAATATATTTTATAAGGACTCTTTTTCTTAAATAATTAAATTAAAGAAACTACAGGCCTAAAAAGGTCAACAAATGTGCTTTTAGATGTGTAAAAATAAGCATTTATATATATTATATAATTTTTGAGTTCTTAGTTATACCTTGTTATTCATTTTTGTTTAGTATTTTCATTATTATTTATTCCTTGCTCTAGTTTTAGTTAGATATTCTTTCTCTTATCCTTTTTGTGTTCCATGGCTTCAGTTATCTCCAGTTCCTTCTCTTATCCTCTAGTTTTCCCCTTAGTTATTCCTAATTTTTATAGTAATTGATTTTGTTCCCCTTTAGCCTTATTTAAGTTGTTTTCTAGTTACAGTAAAACCCTGTTTTACCTGGTTACTCTTTGTTGCCCCCTAGTGCCTCTTTCCTTTCCCCTTAGCTCCTTTCTGGCTGCTTCTGACCACACCTGCTCCCACTTAACTGATCATTCCTCTCTTGGTTCTGTCTCCCTTATATATACTCCTCCTCTGCAGTTCATCAGTGCTGAATTCTCTTCATTACCTTGCTCCTCATGTGTGTTTCTCCCTGGCTTCTCTTGGTTTTTGGTTTCCTGCTTATTGTTTTTGGCTGTATGCTTCTGTTGCCATTTGTTTTTAAATTAAATCTGCAAGAACTCATCTCTGCCTCTGACTACCCTGCGTTTGGGTCCTCAACAACATCCACAACACTTGACATTCTCATTGTAACCATTGTCTGCAACATGCAACCTCTGCATGATGCATTATTGTAAGATGAAAAGTTGATCAGTATAAAGCTGTGTGCATTAAAGAAAACCAATTTCAATTCAATGAAAAAGGTTAAACAAATGCTGAACTTGCAAACAATGATATCTGAGCAGCTTACAACAGTGTCTCATCATCTTCACTATCTATTTAATAAATACCTTAACCAAGGTATTTAACCTTTTTTTGAACATCAAGAACATTTTTTAATTGTTTAATGGTATTAATCCAACTTGGTTCTCCATAATCAAAAATGTTTTTTTTTTTGTTTTTTTTAAAGTTTTTTAGTTTTTAGTTAACATTTTATAGATGTAAATTATAAAGTTATATGTTATATGGCCTTATGACTCAAACTGACTTCAAACTGAAGCTTTTTAAAATGGACTGACTACTCTTGCTTGTAAAATACTTCTGAATTGTGCTCTGTTTCAATGTTTTGTGTTTAAAAGTTAATGCTCTTAACTTCAAGGACACCAGACCTTAATAACTCTATTTAGTTTCAGCCAAAGCGGTTTGTAAAGGTTTATGAGAAATGTATAATGGCCTGTTGACCTGGTTTGTCATTGCCTTGAAATGTAAAACCCTTAATGAAATTATGGGAAATTAGATACAGCGTTTACGTAAATCAGATCACATTAAAGATACATCCTCAGTTCAGAATTAATTTCAATATTAGTGCTAGTAAGGTTTGAATTTGTCTAAATATTAGACTTTTTGTTTCACTTTGATGCGATGACAGTAAGAAAACCCACATACTGAAATAAAAAAGGTGAATTCTGTCAAGTTAAAAAGCCTGACAGTCTTCATTTGTTTCTGCTACTTTTCTTGCACATATTTTGCAACTGATGAGCCATTGTTCTGGCTTGCGTGAAATCCCTGCCCAAGGCTTTGTAGGCTGAGAAGTTTTTTGTGTTCTCAGGTGTTGTGTTCCCTTCTTCTTTAGAACTGACAGCCTGATCCAGCGGACCATCCGGAACAAGTTTCAAGAGTGCACAGTCCTGACTATTGCTCATAGGCTCAACACTATCATTGACTGTGACAGAATACTGGTAAGTAAAATCGCAGGAAATTTCCATTGTCCAGGACTCCAATTCCTGTTTTAAATTGATATATTTGTTCTTCTAAGATTAATAACACAAAACAGGCCATTAAAAAAAAAAGAGTTTCTAATCGCGAAAATATTTCATCTGACAAAATTGTAGATTTTGTATCCCACCTCCCGCCCATTGACTACTGGAAGAACTCCAAAGATCCACAGGTGGGAGAATCTGTGAATCAAACAACTGTTAGTCATGCACTCCACAAATCTGGCCTTTATGAAAAGAGAAAAGGCTGTGTTAAAATAAAATTGTAATAATAAAAGGTTTATTCTGATTTGCCACAAGCCATATAGGGAAAAACTTCAAAATGAATGAAAGTTCTCTGCTCATAAGAAACTAAGGCAGAACTTCTTTGCTAACTTGCAAAATGCTCTGGCAGAAATCCAACTCTATACATGAAACTTGATCTAAAGAGTTTCACATCTATAAGAGGTAAACAACTAGGTAATTTTATTTATCTAGATAAAAGGAAACCTTGAAAGAAATTCTGCTAATGACAGAAGGTCTTGATTCATGTGGTAAAGGTTTATTTTCCAGCAGTAAAATGGAACCAAGGTTATCTGACTTCAGTCGTTGATCCAACACACCTAAATAAGATTACTAAATTACCTCCTCAGCATGCAATCAATCCTAGCTTTTTGCTAGTGACTTGATTATGTGATTCAGATCTGCTGGAGTATAGACACAAAAGTTACAGGACATGAGCCCTCAAAAGGAGTTTGTTCACTTGTGATGCATATAAACTATAGGGGCCCAAATTCCAGCTCCAAATTCAAATGGGATTATGGCGAAAGAAAACACTAAGCGTAAGCCTTTTCTGCATTCTGATTTAGGGAGGTTTGAAACAAATGCATGCTACACTGTTTTATTTTAGTAGAAAAAAAAAGGTCTTACTTCCAATTCACAATTATGCACTACTCTATGCAGCCTATCACATATTTCAACTTTAAACTTTGTAGTCATACTGTGACAAAATGTAGAATTTGGACATGAATGCTTTCCAGCGCACTTAACCTTACTACTGCCTTAATATGTGAAATAAATTAAGTTCCTCCTTGGTTCAGAATGTACATTTGAGCCAATTGTCATCAGCAGAGGTTCTTCATTGCAACTTTTATTTATTTATTTTTCTTGCACACCTTTGGCTCTGACAATGTCGATGCTTCTATCTGTATTACTAAAGCCACATCATCCAACATACCAATCTAATTCGCTTATTTTACAACAGCTGGCTTGATTCCTCCTACACAGCTTCCACTTTTATTAAATCCACACTTGTAACACTCGATCTTTGGCTCTTTCTTGCTACTGCCTGTTGAGGTGCCAATTAGTGGCATTTGTGGCAGTGTTTTTTAATCCTCTACGGAGAACGGGGCTCGACCTGACGGTTGTGTGGCCACTTAGACGATTCCTCAGGAAAGCCAAAATATCATGCAGTGAGAACTGTTTCACACCTACGCTTGTGTTAAATGCTCCCGTGTGCTGAGAAGAACTAAACTGTGACCCCCTGTGAGTCGACTTTCACAAATTAAAAACAATCTTCAAGATGCAAACTCCATGTTCCAGGGTTCTGCACATCAACAATTGATAATGAGAGCAGCTGCAGAAGTCTCCCTTTCTTACCAACGCAGTTGACAAACTGTTTATTAGTGCTGCAAGGGGATCGGGCTTGTTTAAATTAGTCTGTGCTATAATTGTAGTCCTTTCTAAACTGCTTGAACTGGCACTATTCTTTGTGTGGTTTACATAGCATGCCATGACACAGAAATGATGGTAATTTTCTCCAGTGCCTTGAGGGTGTGATTGTTGGATTTGACTGAGGACCACCTCTAGGCCTCTGCAAATGCCTGGATAAATACATGGATAAATGTGTGATCTCCTGTCTGTCAGAGTCAGCGCTGCAGACTTTCGCTCTGCTAACAGGTTCCTCTCATTGTTATGGGCCGTATCAAGCAGAAACAGGCGCCTGTATTTGGAAGCCAACTGAGTCACCTGAAACGGATGGTTCCTTTTGCACACTGAACCACTGTTTCTCCCATTCAAGTTTGCATCGTCTGCATGCTCAACTCATCCAGTGAAACAGCTGAAATGTCAGTTTTCCCTAAGGTAAAGTATACATGTGTTGCCCCACACACCAATTATTCTGATGTGTGTGTGATTGCAGGTTCTGGATGCTGGCAGGATCCAGGATTATGACGAGCCATACATCCTGCTCCAGAACCAGGATGGGCTCTTTTACCAGATGCTCCAACAGACAGGCAAAGCCGAAGCTGCGTCATTGCTGCAAACAGCGAAACAGGTATCCATCTCTGTCCAAGTGCAGGTCTCTCACTAAATAAACGAGCAGCCATCACACACTAATCTCCCCAGACTCCAAAATAATACGAGCAGCAACAAAAGATGTCCATAACCCTGACAAAGCAAAGAAATTTGATTACCATTTTAATTTAAAGTGTCTTCTTGCAGCCTTGCAACACCATAACATTAATTTTAAAAGAGAAATTGGCTCTTTGTAGATTCAGATCCGCCGATCTTATCAAAGAAACTTTCCATATTATCTCTTTTCTCATAATATAATGTTGAGATCGTTTCATGTGATGAGTCTAGAAAAGCAGCTTTCTTTGCACTGTATCCGAAATATTGGGTTTAACTTCATCGCGATTCGGGATAAACTTTCTATGGGGATTACTGTAATAGAGAATGTCCATATATATACTTTTTTCTTTTCCTGTGAAATTCATTTGTGATGTATTTCCCCTTCAGACACTGAACAGATAAGGGCTGGCTATTCATTGTTCAATTCCATTTTATGTGCATCTGTCTGGGACCACAGATACCATATAGCAACTTCAAACAGGTCTTTGTGAAATGAGAAAAAAAAGTAAGCATCATTTCATTTTCTCTCTGTCCCACGCACAAATTTATCAGTGGTGCTGTATCTTCTCAGCCAGAGAAGTGAAATGAGTAAAATACTGATTTCAAAGACGCAGCACACTGTGGCATTATTTGGTATCGTCTTACCCTGCACACTGGCGGATTGGGGGGGGCATTGTTCCAACCCTTATGTTTTTTTCTTTTCGACATTGTTGGCTTTCCCCCTCAGATCAGATTGCGTCAGCATCTAAAACTGTCTAGCACCACTTATTAAATACTGAGATTGTCTACAAGTTGTGTGTCAGGTTTCTATAGTTGTCAGTCAAGGTTTAAATACATTCAATAATCTGATATCAGCCTCTGACTCTTTTGTTCACATTGAAAACAAATCCAAGAGCAGACGGTACACCTCAAGCCCCGAGAGAAGCAAAAAGGGGTTATTTTCTAAAGATTGCTAATCCAGTTACCTTCAGAAATATTCACACCCCTTTAAGATTAAATTTTTCTCCCTCCTAAACAAGAAGCTCCTGTATATTTGAAGACTAACTAAACCCTAAATCAACACGGAACTTATTTGCAGATAAACCCGATAAATTAACTACCGTAGGCAAACTTTGACATTTGTGTAAACTTGTCGAATTGTTGCCAATCAGGTTGGAGCTGTAAGCATCATGAGCATTTATAAATATTGTTTTTCAGTTGAACATTTCAATGTTTATTTGTCAGCATGGGGTTAAATTTTAGGTACTCACGCTATTTAGTCAGATCTGTGCAATGTTGGTCCCCATAGTAATGACCACACCCCCACTTATTACCCTCCAATCATCCTCACGCCTTCCTGTGTCTTTTGGAAAGTGTCCACTTCTGTATCGGAAGATTCTCGGTCATCCAGGTCATTGTCAAGCTTGAAAAAGTCCAGTCTAGGCAACTGTACGTGAAGTTTTCTGGAAGACGTTCTCATCCAAGGGGCTTCTTCTTGGCCAAGGAGGACCTCCTTGGCCAAGAAGAACGTACTCATTGGCCAATCCGGTGGCAGGGATGAAAGCCACCTTCTCTCCCCCCTATTTCTTTGTTACATCTACAGTATATTAATCTCAGTGCTCCCCACCACTAGTTAGAACTAAAGAAGCCTCTTGGATGAGAGACGAAACTTCTAGAAAACTTGCACATCCTGTTGCCTAGACTGAACTTTTTCAAGCCAGTCCACTTTGGTGTAATTTTTCTAAATTTGTTTGGGGCAGCAAATGCTTTAACATCATGCCTAGTTACACTTAGAATGGGTTTCCAACGCAATAAAGTACATATAATGGTAATGTGGTGAAAATTGCACGTGGTTTTCTACATTATTTACAAACACAAGTCTGAAAAGTGGGACATATATTCGTATCCACCCACGAGTCAATAATTAGTAGAACTGCCTTTTTCCCCCAAGCACTGCTACTCATCTAGAGACATATTTTTGCCTATTATTATTATTATTATTTTTTTTTTTTGCCACAGCTCAATACAATATTTTCTTCTGGATTTTAAATCTAGATTTCGAGTTAAGAAAATAGAGCGATATACATTGATCATTTCTGGCTGTACATTTAGTATAAATTTTGTCCATAGAAAATGAATTTGCTCTCCAGTCTCAGGTCTTCCCAAATCAACATTACCAGAGCATGAAGCGTACCATGTTGCACAACTGCAATGTTGTTTTCAGGTTTATGCATACTACTCCACTATGCCACTCTCACATACAGATATTTTGAGTTCAAAATTAATATTTTTTATGTTGTTTACCTGACCTGAGGCCCTGAATGAACAGCTCTATTGATACTAAAACAAAAGTTTTACCTGGTGTTTCAGTAGGAAAAGGTATTGAGGTGCACTCAGTCTTATTTAGGTGGGTGAGAGTGAGTATACTGAATGCAAATGCACCCCATAGATTATCATTTTCTCTTTTGCACACACAAGACCTCTTACTATGGTTCCAATTTGCGTTAAATGTACTGTATCTGAATGCTATTAAAACTTAATTTAGGATAGTGCGTCTTTGACTGCACCTTAATCAAACTCTGCAAGTTTTAAAGCTAATAAATTGACAAAAATCCTTCCACAAATAATTCCCATGATTATCTTCAACATTTTTTCCTGTAAATTTCACACCTGCTTCTTAAGGTAAATAAGCCACTTTTGCCTGCTTCAGTGGACGAGAAATCCCTTCACCGTGCTCTGACTGGATCCCGTCTTAAATCACACCTTAACTGATCTTAGCTCATATTTGGAAAGTGTGCTTAACATTCTGTGATGTGACACTACCCCCCTAATCCGCTTTTAGGTTCACACCAACAGAAAGGCGGAGAGTGACACGTGCTGCACCAAGGACATCAGTGTCATCTTTGAGACGTCTCTTTGACGGGTTGGAGAGTTCCTGTGGTCCTTTTTCGTGCTTAACAACAGACACCGAATCTTTCCCTGGATATGCTTGGATTCGTTGATGTGCACAGAAATGTTTTCAGAAACACACAAAGCTTACAGGTTTGGTTTGCGCTGCATTGATCGGCAAAGACTTTTGGTCTGGAACAGAGAAGTTTTGTGAAGCAGGCCTTGCCTCTCATTGACTGCATACAACTGGATGAATGTTTATTGATTAACTGATGCTATGTTTATAGAAGTGTATTGTGTATCTTCCTCTACTTTGCGCTCTTGATAAAAATAATGCAGTTATTAAATTGTTATTCATTACAATAAATTGTATTATTCTGAAGAGAAAGAAATTATTCTTAGAACTCTTTTGATGTGGAAAAACAAGAGAAGCTTTGGTGAAGCCAGTAGCATCTGCAGTTATTATTGTGCCTTCATCAGACTATTGATTGTTTATAATTTCGCTGTTTTAATTGAACAGTTTTCCTTTACACTATCTGTATTGGTTCAATGTCTCATTTTGGTTCTGACAATGTTCTTTGATGTTACCAGCCATGAGAATATTTTATACCCCCTTTAGCAAGCAGTAATTGCAAATGATTATCTTTTATATTTAAATAATCCACCAAAAGGACCTGTAACTTTGTTATCCCGATGAAAATGATCAGTTATTCAAGTTTAAGTTAAGATTTAAATGTTTCATATTTCTTAGAGTTGCCTCAAGCTGGGATCAGAGTCACAGTCAGTTGAAAAATAGGTTTAATATTACCTGTTTTTTTTTTTTTTTTTTTAAACAATATACACAGCTCAGAAAATAAAGAGAGCACATAAACAACACAATATAAATTCAATCAAATCAAACTTCAGTGAAATCAAACTGTCCACTTAGAAAGCAGCACTGATTGACAATCAATTTAACATGCTGTTTAGCAAATAGAATAGACAACAGGTGGAAATTATTGGCTATTAACGAGACACCCTTGATAAAGGAGGTGTTCTGCAGGTGGGTACAACAAACCACTTCACAGTACCTGTGTTTTCTGGTTGATGTTTTGGTCACTTTTGAATGTTAGAGGTGCTTTTTCAATTGTGGTAGAATGAGACAGACTCTAGGTAGTTCAGCTCATCCAGGATTGCCCATCAGTGCGAGCTGTGGCAATAAGTTTTGCCAGCTTTTGTCAGCTCCAGAGGCTGGAGGCGCTACCAGGAGACAGGCCAGTACACCAGGAGACATGGAGGCGGATGTAAGAGGACAACAATCCAGCAACAGGATCACTATTTCTGCCTTTGTGCAAGTTGGAACAGGAGGAGCAATACCAGAGCCCTGCGAAATGACTTCCAGCAGGCGACAAATGTGCATGTGTAAGCATAAAAGGAAACTGACTCCATGAGGATGGTATGAGGGCCAGACGTCCACAGATGGGGGTTGTGCTCACAGCCTAACATCGTGATGGAAGCTTGATATTTGTCAGAGAACACCAGGATTGATTAATGGAGTTTTATTTACCTCTCACCAAAGTAAAAAAAAGACACATATAAATAGCTAAAAAGAAAATTTTTGACTGAGGTAGAACTAAAACTTGTTGGACTGTGATTTTTTTTGTTTACTATTACACCAATATTTAGACGAAATAACATTGTAGGCTAGTGAATTTATGATATCTTTTTGTAATTCTTTGAGTTACTGCATGATTATGTATATAGATACAAAAAAGGATGGCATAAAATTGCAAGGATGGGGCTACAAACTCAGTTAAGCTAACAGATAGCCAATTAATGAAATCAGGGCAGATTGTATCTAAATGCTTTATTACAATTTGGTTTAAGAATACATTTGTTTAAGCCTCTTGTTAAACAAACCACAAGAAGCCATTTATTATATTATTGTTTATTCATTTATATTAATGAACAAGATCTTTAAGGAGCTGTGTATTTAGCTGCTTTAAAAATCTACAGTAGGTCTTTAATTTGAATACCTGATGCCAGTTTTAAGGATTCTGTCTTAAAGCTGATCTCTGGATTAAAATATCTGTCAAAACCAAAAGGTTTCATTGAAATTTCGTTTTGTTCTCAATTATGTTGATGTACAAGCTAACGTGATTAAATCAAAGAGATACATTGCTGTATACTGTGCTTATATCTGTAGCTGTATTGATATTTAAAATATGGATAACTGCATAATGAGCATCAGAATGATCAAGCCTGGTTTGACATTCAGCTGCAGAGATGCTAAATGTAAAATATGATAGGATGAGTGTTGAGGGATACAATGAAATTCAGACACAACGCTAGTTTAAAGAACTGCTGGCAAAGCAGGCATTTTGGGGGTTTAAAAGGTTGGTACAATGTTGGCAGATATACAATGATCTGCAGTACACTTCTTTTGCACTTTAAGAGGCTCATCACATGTGACTAATAAATATTTATGAAATGAGACGATGTTATGTACTTTGTATGTTAACATCAGAAATGGAAAAAAAAAACATCTCGAAACAGCTCAGTAAAATATTAGCTTGCTATTTTAATGTTGTTTCAAAAAAAATATGGAGTCGTTTTAATAATAATATGAACTTTAATTAGCACACTCTCATTGTGTTTCTAGAATGTAAATACTCCAACCTTATGTCAATAGTTTTCTAATACTCAGTCAGCATTTCTAAATACTACATGCTGCCTTAAGATGAGAGGTTTAACAATGAATAAGCATCTTTCTGGAATCCAGTAAGCCTTCCTGTTGCCAATGAGGCTGCTCTGTAGAGCCCTGTGTGTCTCCCTGCTTTTTTTTTTTTTGATTTTCTTTCCCTCATTACTCCATCTTCTCATCTGTCCTTTTCTTTCTGTCTTTCTTACTTTCCTCCCGTTTTTAATGTGAACAACCCATTTTTTATTATTTGTTTTAACCAAAACTGAAATATCTTTAGCCAGATAAAATGAACATCTTGTAATTTGTGTCATTCAGTTCTCCAGTGCTATAAAAGCCATGCAAAATTATTCAAATCAACCCAATGACCTAAGGGCCAGCTGTCAAGTAAAAAACTAATATACCACCATCCCAGCAGGTGGTGATAAGCAGAAACCAGAGACATAACTAGCTATAGCTCTTTCCACTCATATCTCAGAAAAAACTCCTGTTGCAACCATGATAGTGTAAAGCCCAAATCAAGAAGGCTGGAAAATGGGGCCCAACTACTGTTTTGTTTTTTTTATTATTAGTTTTTTTTTAACTCTAACAGATTTATTGTCATTGCTGAATTGATTAAAGATTAATACAACAATTATTTCTTTATATGCACTTCTGTTAGCTTTAATGACAAACAGATTTCTTCAAGAGACAAATCAAACACTGAAATAAACTAGACAAGATCAGTTTGCATTGGCTAAATTTAATCTGTTTTAGATCCTGCAAAATGCTGGCATGGTGAGCTGGATGCATTTGCAGTGAGAAAAGGCATCTGATCTCTCAAAACTTTGACATCTTTGGAAAGTAAGAAATATGTTTATAAACTTAGTACATATTCATATTTTATAAGACTTTGATCTAACTTAAGCATCATAAAAATATATTTTCTTTCACATAAAGTGTAATATATTCAACTCTTTTCCACCAGTACCGTTTCTTTTAAAAAGTCCAACCTAACTGAAAAAAGGGTACACCAATAATTTTTTGCTTAGCACATTACCCTGCCCCCTCAACAACCCTAGGGTAATCGCAAAGTCTTACCCAGATGGACATTTTATCTGGTAAAGTGGGAACCCCAGAAGTTGAAATTACTTGTATTGAAACACACTTCCAAATTCCCAGATATCTGCCTTATGCCCCCGAGTGGAGAAAGTGTGTATAAATGTTTGTCAATGGCGTTATCAGGCTCCTCTCCTGTGTAACTAACTACCAGTTTAAGTCTGTGATGCAGACACTCTGCTTGCATTTAGGGCCAGGCTTAAATTGTTCCTTTTTGATAGTAGAGTTGCTCAGGTTATCCTGAGCTTTATCTATAGATATGCTGCTATAGGCTTAGACTGCTGGAGGACATACGGACCCATCATTCTGCTTCATTCTATCTCTGTTCTCCCACTATGCAGAATTTGTAAGTTCAATCTCTAACACTATGCGTTCCCTGCTTTTTCCTCATGGTTGCTTCATCTGGTCTGTTCCTGTTTGGCTGTGACACCATCCTGGAGAGAAATATCAGCTGTGCTACCGTCATCAACACATTTGTTTATAGAGGTTTGAGCTTGGCCTGTTTTTTCTGCTGGAGGTTTCTTCCTGTTAAAGGGAGTTTTTCCTCTCCACTGTCGCTACAAGCATGCTTGGTGTGAGGGATTGCCTTTGAGTCAATGCAATCAGCTGGCTTTCATTAGATAGAAAACTTTGTATCAATCTGACTTTATGATCTGGTTTAATTGTCTCTGTAAAGTGCCTTGAGATGATATCTTGTGGATTAGCACTATATAAATAAACTGAAATGAAATAAATTAAAATATGGACTCAGTTATAAAATATGAAATTCAAAACTCATAATTAATAATGTTCTTGCAAGGGTTTGTTCATTCAGAGTGTGGTTGTACTTACAAACATTTCCTCTCAGTTGCTTACTGAATTGTGTGTTTGCCTCAGTTAGGTCAGTGGTTATAGCGGGTCTTGAACATGAAGCTACAAATTGGTAAGTGGTTAAAAAAACCTACCTGGTGATTATGTGTGAGTCAAGTGATTTTTTTTTATTGGAAAAGTATTGTAGCTATCCACTCTATCATTACACTGCTTCTACTACAAGCTCCATTAGAAATGGGGCAATTTTAATTTGGCTTCACCCAGACGGTGATTACACATTAAGAGACTCTTGTCAGTAAACACTTAAGCCAGGTTTAGAAGGATGTATTTAACCAGGCCCAAATTTGGGTCGTGAACTGCAGGACATCCGCTTCTTTAGAAGCTGAGTGATTTACACAATTCATTAAAGCCAATGAATCTTCAGCCAGAGTCATATTAAATGGTTACTTACTCTCAAATGGCCCCTTGGGAGCAGGATTGTTGGCTCACGAATAGATTGAAGTTTACATTGAAAAGAAAAATTGAATTCAGAGGTAATCAATAGCACAATGGGGCAGTGAGAGGAGCCTGCTGCCTGAAATGAAATTACCATATTTTTAATCTTAATTTTCCAGTCTGTGTATCTGACAGCGTGGATGTGCAATCCAAACAGATAATGAGAGAGTGGGATATTGACAGTGGGGTCCTCTGGAGTGCTTGTTTCAGTGATT